ATCAAATAGACGCTCTACTTTAGACGCAAAGTGGAGTAGAGATTCTAGAATCTAAATTCAAGTACTCTTTTAGTTTTAATAATAGTTTATTTATGTAAATGTATTAATATAATTTAATAAATTGAATATTTTAGTTTGTGTGACAGTATAAGTCCGAATAACCTTAAAAATAAGAGCACCTTATTTTCAAGATTGGTTTTCATTTGGATTTTAATAATGCAACACGATGATGACTTATCACAAGGTATATCAATAACAAGATCATGCGGGACCATGCAAAATGACGCTTCAGATAACTCGGTAAACACATTTTAAATTTTGGTTCCCAGTGTAAGAATAGATGTACTTTAAAATGGAAAAAAATCTTTCAATAAATAAATATGTATGTATCTAGAAATAAACAAACTATTTAAGAATTTAATAACCTCTAAATAAATGCTTCTTCACCAGTCCTAAACTCCCCGTATTACATTTCGGTTATTTAAAACCTTTTATACATTATAATATAGATATAAACCAAAACAATTATAAAAGCATCATAATAATAATCAGAAAAAAAAATTGAATTGTTTGAAAGTTGCCTTTATAATTAAGTATAACTAAGTAAAAGTTTTATTTTTGCTGTGTTCGGTTCAAAAAAATTGTTTAGATATTTTAAAATCATTTCGAACCTTGCCACTCTCACTATTCCTGGGAATCCTTCCAGAAGGCTCAAAAGGAAACGGTGTCGAGACCTCCTCACTGTTTGATCTAAAATAAAGCAATATAAATAAAGAAAAAAAAAACCATCAAGTTAGGGTAGTGTTATCACTGGGTGACTCCTCTCATCAATTCATTCATGTTTTTATTTTTTGTCATTTACCACATATTCTTATTGTTCCTCAAGGAACAGATTGTATATTTCGTATATAAAATAAAAAAAAAAAAAAAAAAAGATATTTTAAATGTTCACAAAATAATCTAGAATACCATAACTCCAATACTTATTAAAGGAATAGAAGATTTTTCTGGCTTATGCACTGCATTAATCGACTTGATAGGCGTCGATAATTTTTACTGCAAATCAACCACGGAGCACTTAAAAATTTTAACTTCGAACCCAGATACTTATAGAAATGTAGTGCTTTTTCAAAGAGAAGACAAATCCGATTTCCACACCTCCCAACTAAAAGAGGACAAACCAACACGTGAGGTTTAGCGTAATCTACATCCTACCCAAACAGCCTTAATTAAAAGCAAACTGGAAGTACGTTTATTCGAAGTAAAGCAAGTTACTCAAGTACTTCATCGTCTTAATAAACACCCTCTTCCACTCTTTTTCATTGACCTCAAACCCACAGACTTCTCTCAAGGTATACACAAACTAGAATAATTATTACATACAAAAAAAAAATCGAAGAGCCGCACAAGTCTAAGGTCATAGCAGGCCTAAGCATCAGCCAATGCCATAATTGCCAAGCTTACGGTCATATGAAAGCTTATTGTGGACATATCCCTCGTTATGTTCGCTGCGGAAAAAAAACTACTCATTTGCTTGCCCGAACTCACGCAATGTTCCTATGAATTTTGCATTATGTTCTAACAATCATCCGGTGAACTATAAGGGCTGTTCAACTTATAAAGATCTTCAGTCTCGTAAGAAACCAAATTCAAAGTACCACAACCAATCTAATCTTAATTTTAAGACTAATATTGTAAAAGACAGCCATCTATCAGGTAACACTCCACTCAATATTAATGCAAATCAATTTCAAACGTATATTCAAGCCATTCAGAATCAACCCCCTCCTCAAAATACTCCTTTATCAACACCAGATACTAATACTCAAATGTCAAGCTTCTTTAACGAATTTAAACTCCTAATTAACCCGTTAATTTCTTTAATTACTAAAGTTATTTCCTCCTTATTAGATAAAAAATAATGAATAATTTAGCCACCAACAAATCACTTGTATTTTTACAATTTTATGCAAATCGACTTAAAAACCCAAAGATTAACCTGGAACAAGCATGAGAGCTAAGAGACTGATCCTAAATGTTCGATTAAGATCACTTAAAATGTTATTATCCAAAAATAAATTTACTTGCCTAAAAACCAAGCTACTTATTCATAAAACCCTCCTAAATCCTATATGGACATATGGGTTACAACTCTGGGGATCGCCCAAAAAATCCATTCTAACCAAAATTCAAGTCTTTCAAAATATTACTCTTAGAGAAATCTCTAACGCTCCCTTCTTCGTGTCTAATTTAACCCTCCACCAAGATGTAGGTATCCATCCTGTTATACATTCGGCGTCACAAAAATCGCACATCTCTAAAATTAAGTTTCAAACGGTCGTTTCCCCGAACCAAAACATTTAACCCAATCAATAAAGATGTCAATTGAAAGTACAGTTAATGACCTCTTATCCGATAGTAGCTTCATTTTATAAACAATAATCATATTCTGAATATACGGCACATTAGAAAAATGTATTAATATACTCCTATCTCATCTTATATTCTTTGGCTATAGAAAAATCAGTTTAAAGTGTCAAATACAGGTCATTCACTACCTAAACATTGAAAAGGACATAAGTGAATACTCTTTAAACAATATTATATCAAAAAATAACAAATTAAATGAATAAAACTGCTAACGAAGCCGCTCAAGTGGTGGCATTAATGGAATCAGGGATGCGTCAATATGATGTTGCGCGTCAACTAAACATGAGCCGTTTTGCCGTTCGACGAGTTTTCCAAGAGACTATCAAGAGACTGGTGGCTTTATTCGGAGGCATGGATCAGGCCGACAACGCTTCAGAACGGACAGAGGTAATCGTTTTATTGTCTCGACGTCTTTGCGCAATCGAATGCTGTACAGCTTCAACAGCAACTCCACGCAGTTCGTAGTACAATAGTAAGCTTCTTTACGGTTAGGAGAAGGTTAGGAGAACAAAAAATTGTGGCCCGCGGACCTGCTACCGGTCCGAAACTGACTGCACAGCTCCGCAAAGAACGGTTATAGTTTGCTCGTGAACACGTTAATTGGAATCTCCGCCAATGGAAGACTGTGCTCTTTTCGGATGAAACAAGGGTGTGTCTATTCAGCAATGACAAAAAAAGGAATGTGAACCAAAGGCAGGGTGAACGGTTTGCATAAGACTGTATTGAGGAGACAGTTAATTATGGGGGTAGTTCATGCATGTTCTGGGTTGGCATTTCCATCGATAGCAAGACCGAGCTTGTATGCGTTTCCTGGACTGGTGGTGCTCGAGGACAAGGATCGCTGAATTCTTATCGATACATCACAGAAATCTTAGAGGAGCATGTGGTACCATATGCGGGTTTTTTTGGCGATGGGTTTATACTAATGCACGAAAATGCTCATTCCCACGCCGCACTAATTGGAAGGAATTATACTGAAGAAGTTGGAATCCCTGTTATGAACTGGCCATCGAGAAGTCTAGACATAAACCAAATTGAGCACCTCTGGGATGAATTAAAACGACGAGTGCGGCCACATGATTCTGTCCCAACAACCCTCCAAGTTCTTAAAAATGCTGTTATTGCGCAATGGATGAGCATTCCTCAATAACGCATCATACGATTCATAACATCCATAAAAGATCGTATGGAAGCAGTAATTAAGGCAAGAGGAAGTAGCAATAGATTTTAAATAACATTTAGTAACATTTTTTTATTTTTATATGAGGTCTATTGTCTGTTTCTGTTTGTAAAAATGTATAACCTCAATAAAATTTGTTTTATTCTTCTAAGATTACCTTATTTATTTAAATCACTGATAAACAAAAATACATACCATTTATTTATTTTTAAAGTTTATTTAATCACCTATCAAATTATACATCATAACAGTACCCTTACATACGAGTAAGCGTAGTTAAAATTACTTTGAAAAATAATTTGCAATAGGTGCGATTTTCTTGGCACCAAGTGTAGTTGAAGCGTAGTTATTCTACAAACGGTTTTTACCAAACTAGAAAATCACCCCAACCCACTAATAAAAGAGTTGCATACCTTCAAAATTCCTAAAAATCTCCAACGAAAAGGAAATGGTGTCGAGACTATTTAAATTAAAAATACACAATAGATTGGGTGGCCTCTATTGGGAGGCGTTTTATTCAAGTACAGAATCCATGTTGTATTCCTTAATCAGATACACTTATTGTGCATTTTTGTGTATAGATTGTGTATCTGTTTTTTTCTTTTTTCATTATTATTGTCACAAATTTTACTAAATTTATGTATCTGTACGTTTCTAACTTCATTCACAAAAGGGTCTTGACCCATTTAGTATACTTATATAAATAAATACAATAAACAATGTATAACAAAATAATGTATTTTTAAGTGGCATAATTTGTAAACTGTGGTAAATAAAGTTCCTACCTGTATAATTGTTGCATGTTGGTGATTTTTGTATTTTAGAGTTAAATGGTATTTTTACAAACAAACTAGGTACATTTGTCCGTTTAATATCAGCCTTATATATCAATAAAAAATATTTGTAAATTAAATATTAAGAAGCCGGACAAATTGCATGTATATATAGTGAAATTAAATGGAATATTTGAAAAACATAATCATTTAGTTTGCCAATTTCAATAAAATAAAAAAACCAAAAAAATAATAGAACGTTAACAAATAGTTTAGCTTTGAACAATGAACTACATAGCGTTCGAAACACAAATATATTATTCATTCAGAAAATAGATCATGAGTATGACAACAAATCTTCCAATATTGTGTCTCAATTATATACTTCTGTCATTATAAATCAAAAATCCCTAGAATTGGAAAGAAGAAAACTTCAAGAGTCTTTTAATACACTGTAAAATAAAATATCTACCTTTGAAGAATTAAATGTTATGAAAAAATCTTTTTTACCTATTATACTTACATGTTAATGTATACTTACATTAACAGCTATAAGAAAAAATTAAAATACACCATCCTCAAAAAGAAACACTTCACAGGTATTTCAAACAAACAATAAAATCATCACACAGCGCAGTTTATACCAAGAATATAAAAGAAAATCATATCGGTACATCATTCATCTAAAGAAATAATACTTAATTTTTTTCAACTATTCATACATTTTTTAAGTATTCAAATAAGTTGATAAACAATTGATTTTTTTTTTGTTTATAATATTTTTTATTTATAAATTAAGTCGAACTAACTAAATAATAATTTCATTTTTATCTTTTTTATTATACAATCCACTGCAAAGTTAATTTTTAAGTATATTTGAGACAACAACGCCAATACTTTTCTTACTGTTTGAAGAGTTTCTATCTTGACGACAAATCCGCAAGCCAACATAACCTAATTCTGAATAAGCGATATCTGGGGAGAGCCAGATAAATCAAATTATATATTGTACTGTTCTAATATTGTTACGTAATTTAAAATTTATAAAATAAATTAATACATTATTAAAATATGATGTACTACTTAATATGGTTTTATTACCAAATGTATTTTACACACCTTACAATATCATCTTTACCTGTTATAATAAGGCGTGTTATAAGTTCAATTTTAACAGAATGCGTTTGATAAAAATTTAAATATAATATAACCAATTTAATCAACTTTTTTGAATTATTTGTAACCATAAAACTATTATATTTCATTGTCTGTAAAATAAAATAATTGAATTTAGCTATATAAATCAAAGTAGAACAATTATTTTGATATTTTATTTCAACAAACATACAAATTTGTCAAGAAAAAAAAAAATCCATTTAAATCTTCATTATTCTACTAGCTATGAAATAATTTTGTCTTTTGTTGAATATATTAAAAAAAAAAATTAAAAGGTTATTTGTGTATTTTAAGTATAAAAAAACAAAAACAAAATACATATGATCAAGTCAAAAATTCAAATAATTGTAATTATTTTATGCAGAATTGGCTTTTCATTTTTTTATAATATTATTAGAAGATTGAGTCAGCTAACCTTTTATGCCATTGCTTAATTCTCATCAGGAACATTTGTAAATGCTTTCATAGCTCTAATCATAATCATTGTGTACTTGTTATAATTTCAGTAAGAAAGTAAATCAATGGAACTCATGCATCGAGTATGGACATGCGTGTATGAGAGGTAAATTTTATTACAAAATTGAACAAATTTTTAAAATATACTTGAAAATCTTTTCCTTTTTTTTCGAGCGAAGGTCACGGTAAACGCGATGTGGAAGCTGCTAACTGCCTGCACCAATTGGCACTGATGCAGCAAAAATCGGCCACGGCTGCTGACGCCGAACACGAAACTTCTGAAGATCTCAACCAGCTAATATCATCACAAGGATGATTTTAATGACTTATATTTTTTCATCATTTTATTATTCATTTATAAACATTTATTATCATTTTTAACCAAAATTATTATGACATACTTTTAATATTATTTTATAACTAAAAAAGTGTTTTTTAAATACTTAAAATTTACTTACCCAATATTTCAATTAGTTTTAAGACATCTATTACAATAGGGAACATATCATTACTATATATTCTTAAAATTACTTACACTGTACCTTCCGAAATACTTTTTTAACAACTTCCACTCCAATTCATTAATTTGATCCTCATTTTCAATTGGTAATATTGAATTGTATTCAATAATTTCTTCATACGTATCTTTAACTTGAAGAACAGTGTTAGTTAAAGCTTTGTCCATCTCAAGTTCAATTTCAGTAATGTTGTCTCTACATAATATTTTAATTNAATTTGAGTAATATTGTCTCTAAACCATATTTCAATTTTAAAACTATTCTTAAAATTTGTGTTCATGACTTCAGATACAAGGCATGATAGTTTTTGAAAATATGTGTTTTAACATAAAAGTCAATTGACTTAAAATGTAAATATTTGATTGCCCTTTTGATTCAAAAATCTGTGATAAACAGTTATTTCTTAATTTTTTATTGTGTTGTTTTACATAAGTTATCTATTTAATATCTCTGAATGTGTATAATCAACAAATACTATGTATACAATACAAAAGACAAATTCTATGCTAATTAAATAATTTCATGTATTACAACTATATCGTTTGTAAAAGTAATATTTAAATTTTATATTATACTTGCAATAGAACTGAATTAATCTCTATCAAAAAGTTATCATATTAATTATAATTCTGAACTGCAACTTGAATAATTTTCAATATATTTATAGATTTATTTTTATTTCATAATAATTAATATTTAATTATAATAATAGTAATAAAAAGGGAAAAAATTTGTCTCCAATTACCCGTGCTTAGGGAGAGACAGTAATTATTGATGTTTCTTAAATGTATAATACATATTTATCATACTTATCATCAGCGTTTATGAATTTAAAAACAAATATAGATGAATTTAAACATAAAAATATAACAATGTGGAATTATAGTATTACTATGCAAATAAAATGTGCACCATTCCATAATAATTCCTAGGTCTAAAGTAGAACAAGCACTAAGGCAAAATATAAATTGGTTTTTTTAGTAGAGCAATTTTTTTGTTAATTTGTAGCTTTCTTTGCCGTTACGGATAAAATTAAAATAAAAAAAAACAGTAATTAGTAAGATATTCCGTGGAGGTTATCCCAAAATTGAAATGTTTATTCTGGTAGAAAATGAATAAATAAAAATTCATCAGAGGGCGCCAAGAGAGTGATACAATCGAGTTTTTTTTTAAATATAAATTTGATTATATCGGCAAATACGCACACTTATATTATATAGGTATGTATAAAAGAATTGATATATTTTCGNTTAGATGGTATTCTAGTCAATGCATCACCGATAAAATATCGATCCTTTTTTATATATACAGATAAACAACTGAATTATTAACTTTATATTAATATAAATTATCGGCCAATGTTCACATGAAAGTATAAAACAAACACTGCCAAAATACAACGGCCTATAGATTATGTTAGATTATTTTATTCGTCCTCGAATTGTTTCGGCTTTTCTAATAGGGAGCGAACAATTTCAATTTGGGCAGTGGGTTCGAATTGTATTGCAAAATAATTCTCTAATTTTGGCCAACTAATTTATATGTTATTGTTGTTTGTATATTTTCGTATGTTTTTTATGGTCGGCCGTCCAGAAAACCCGAGATGTATCGAGTTTTGTCTTAGTCAGACTAGTCATTGGTCGATGCAGCATGACTTGAAATTTAACAAAAAATGTCACTTTTCTGTTTTTGATTAACGATATATTTCTGGTAGAAAATAAAGAAAACATAAAATCAATGAAATCGGTCACGTAACGATATGGTGAGCCATAAATATTTTTTCATTTTTCCTATAATTTTGTTTCTGGGTTTTCTAATGTTTTAAAACCCTTCTTAGGTCTAAGATGGTAGATGGAAAGAAATGTAGAAAATTTATTTATTTTCTCTGCCAATTTTTGTCTCCCTAATTTATTAAATTTATCTTATTATAAAACTCAAAAACACATTTTAAATTTTTCGGGTCTCATTAATATACAAACTTCATGCGTATGTAGTTCAAATCCGGTTTCAATGAATCTAAATTATTAATTTGAATTTTTTCCATTAGCAGTGATTAATCGTTGTATACCGATGTACATCAATTCCCTTCTATAATCTACCTTTCCCACTTCTCACCCACTACAGTGGACCACCCAACTGCAAAGTAAGTCTAATTCTTAAATTTATTGTTTTGTTATTTAACTATATCAATATTAGTTGAAATATGTGTGAACGAATTTTGTAAAATGTAAATATGCGTACACCTCTTAATCGTCAGACATGTTGTAAAATTCGTAAAATTTTTAAAATATATGGTAAGTAGCAATATAAGAGGTATACTGATGTATATATTATATAGTATTTATTTATTTCGTATGACATGAATAAAAAACATATAACACATTTATACACTATTTAATTTCAAATTGTAACAAATAATAAAATTAGATGGTTTTTGGTAAAGATCTCGCAAAAATTCAAAAATATTTAAAAACCTGGTATCTTATTCTGAATGCAACAGTTTTCTACCCGGAGGAAGA